AATCAATCTTGTGTTTAGAAGATAAATAGTGGACCAAGAATATAATGCATATGATTCAAGAAATTAATAAGAATTTAGTCATTTTCAAATCTCAATTAAAACAAAATTTTGTTTGATTCTTAGTAATTAAGTTTATATTACATGTATACAGTTAAAGTATATCAGTGAGGGAGTTAGCAAGATTCCAGTTCCCTAAGACGAGGGATATTTTCCGAGGCAAAGCTGAGGGAAATGGTTCTGGTTGAGGGGAACTGGAATCTTGCTTACTCCCTCACTAATATACTTTTTAACTATTTTATCATACCGTATATGTACATGTATATATGATACAAACATAAAATTTAGAGGATTCAGAGAGTGTGATTTTAAAGCAGGGATTATCTCACTGAACTAACAAACTGGTATTAGTCCATTCACATCTCACATCAATGCAAAAGCAAAATCTACAGAATTACTGATAACTGGGAACTACATTTTGAAGCAGGGATTAGTTTACTTGACTAATGCACGGGGAGTAGTCCATTTTTAACGATTTCTAGGGAATTATGTAAGACTGCATTTTCACCAAGTAATTCTTATATTTGTGCATTTGTTCATTTCACCAATTGTAATTATACATGCATGTATTTGAATACATAATTCATAGCTTTGAAAGGAGAAAAACAATAAATATGTTTGTAATTCTTTTTTTAGTGACCACTGCATTAATTTATGCAATTTTTGGAGAGGAATTCATCAACGATAACAGTATATCACCAGGTTTTAGTCAATATCCAGGACTTATCTCTTAGTGGACAGGACTATAAAGTTCAAACCAACAGCAAACCTTGAGTGAAATAATAATAATGATGATCTGGATGTGATTGTAACATAATTATGCATAAAGATGTTCATTCGTGTTACAAAAAGATGGACAAGTAGCTTCATTTTATCTACCGGTATATATATTTTTCATCAGCAGCATGCTTTGTGTACAATTTAATTATGCCCCTTAAAGGAGGTAGGGCATATTGCTTTGTTGCTGTCTGTGGGTCCAAAAACAGTTACCATTCATTTCCTCTTAGAGGTTGCATGAACTGAAATGAAATTAATTAAATATATCTTGGTCAGATTTTGTTTTGGGGTATGATCGAGCAATTTTAGACAAAATCATGCTACTTGCTCAAGGAGGGAGGTGCAAAAGTGTTCCACATACATCTTTTGTTTTAATTTGTGTTGTTTTATTTTTTGTATAATTGTTATTGCACTAAAAAGCAATTTCCATCTTAAATCTTATTTATATTTTCTAAAGTATTTAATAAATCTAGTAAAAGTAGCTAGTCTTACTATTTTTTGCTATAATCTTTAAGTGACAATCAAAATATTTGCATTCTCCTTTGAAAAGGAAATGCATGTTACAATAGAGAAGTAATAAAATCAAAGAATTTGCAAATATAATTCTGTCAATGATACAGTATGGTTGATGGAATTGGACTAAAGGAGTAATAAATACCCTTTACAAGGCATTTACAAAAAAAATTCCCACCTTTCACTTGATTTGAACAATGGATACCACTCACCCAAGGTGTGGGGTGAGCAGCAATAAACGTGAGCAAAAGTGGCTCAAGAACATGTACTGGTACATATATTCCAGACAAACAGCATGAATGTCTGCATTGACCTTGAATTCTGACCTTTTTATCAGAGGAATGATTGATCTTTAAGCTAGAAACTTTGTAAATACATGTAGTTCAAGGTCACAGCAGGTATTAATTCAAAATCGAATAAATGCATGGAGATAATGAAGAGTAATCAAGCTCAAATGTCCTTTAAAACAATTCTGAACAAATCAGGAGCAGAACAAACATGGACCTTTAGAACATCAGAAGTGGGATCAGGTGCCACGGAGGAGTGAATATCCACTGTCAACTGGTCACGTCCAGCCTGTGCTCTTTGCCATGAAATAGGGGAATAAATTAATCTATGGACAATTCAGTGTGTAGATAATAGCCTAATAATTAGTATGAAAAATGTCCATCAGCATTTGACTCAATGATAGACAGTATTTGCTGACAAGGTCATTGAATTGATCATAGAACTTGGTGACTTGGCAATTTCAAATGTCAATGTTAATATTTATGTTTCATAAACTTATTTTATAAGAATTAAATTACACCATTTTAGAAATTGTTCAAACACTGAATATATAAGCTCTTTTATATCTTATAATGTAACTTAGAGTCTAGAGGTATCATCTAAATTAGAGAAAGGAGTTTTTTTAACAAGGAAATTACACAGGTTTGCTTCGACTTCCGCCTCTTCCTGATCCAATGTCTTGAAAGAAGTTTGACCAGACTGGGCCAAGATGAGAAAAAAAAATATTTTTAAATTGTAAAGATATTTGCTGTGACCTTGACCTCTGACACAAACTTTGTTTAAGGTCACTTCAAATATTAACCCATCATCCCATTAGAACTTTGTACACTCAAAGGAGAAAAAGTGCATGTATTCTGGTCTGTACAAGTTATAATATACTAACAAATTGATAGTAAGACTGATCATTAAAGAGCATCCTCATAGCAAGGGACAAAGCCTCATTTGGCACCCCCCTCCACACACACACACACTTTTTGTATATCCACAATGGGTAAAGGGAGTTTGGGTAACTAACTACATCTTTGTGTCTCATAGTAAGACCCCAGTGACCAGCAATGAAACCTATTACCTGGTAGATTAAATGATTAGAAGATGCATTAATAAGACATTTATAGTAGACAATCAGGTTTTATTGCCCATTCTAAAATCGGTAGGGACCTTGTATTGAGATGAGAGAGTGTAAGATAAGTTAGATCATGCTCATAAGAAACAAATATATTCTTCATTTACTGGATCATTTGACCTTGTATGTTGTGTAAAAAATTGTTGAAAATTTAGCCCTGGTCAGTATAATTATTTTCATTCTATTTAGATTGAATTATTTTACATTCAAATATCCTAAATTAGCTAAAAATTATACACCAGTAGATATAATTGACCAGGTTAAGACATAACATAACATACTAGTATTTGTTGTGTTTTTACTTTAAAAGTCTGTACAGGGAGAGGCTATGTAGAAATAATTATATTTTAGGACGAAATTTTGTTTAAGAAAAACGATACCCCACCCACCCCCACCCCCAGCTTTAAGATAAAAGATTGCTTTATTTGCCCTTTTGTCCAAAAAAAAAAATACCGGCATTTTTTTCTCTGGCTGGTCGAGGAGAAATCCTCCCACACGTCTTAAGAACAACCTAGATTGTAGCTTGTATCTATCATTTCGAACATTACGTGTATCAACAAAAATGATTTACAAATTACTAGTAAATGTAACATTCATAAGATTTTATGTTTGTAAGAGAGAATTTTTTGACACATGTTCATGATTTAAAAATTTTTATACATGTATTTTTTTCTTAAAGCATGCTCATTCTTCTCGTGTGTGTGACTGTAAAATTTAGCTGCAGAACAGTAGCTCCCTGCTTGAAATATTCGGACATTAAGGCAAAGAGCTACAGAATCTGATATACAAGCGTTGTCAAACCTTTCGAGTTACACCTCATTTTTTTAATTTACTAGTATTCAGTTTGTTTTGATTGATTACAATACATATTTGTATGTTTGTAGTTTTTTTGGGGGGGGGGGTGCTCACGTGGGTATTATTTCTTGTATATTACTTTATGCTTTTCCTTGCTTTAGAATTTTAATGATATCCGATATTTTACAAAATATCTTTCTCCTATTTTTAGACAAGAGTATGATCTTTTTGAAAGTTAATTTGTCGCACGATCTCTAACGTCGAAATGGAAATTTTTTAAGCCGACATTCCAAAACAATATATAAACGAGCCACAGATCTAAGGGTTGTAAAAAAAAGGTTTAATTTATGCCGCCTCAGCTTTTTTGCCGTTCACTTTGGGAATTTAGCCCGCTTTAAAATTAATATCTGATTTCACTCCTACATATATTCTTGATAATTTCTTTTACATATTAATGGTCGAAACCAGCCCCTTCTTTATATGTCCGAATTTTTCCAAGCAGAGAGCGACGGTTCTACAGCTGTTAAAGTTAAGATGAATATTAGAAAATTTTAGATCAGAATTCCTTATTCATGTTTTCTGTCGTTTTTTAAAAATAGAGATGCATTTACACATTAAATGAGCGATTGTGGAAATGGTCAGGCGACACATTCTTTCGGCATTTAGCATTAGGCATTATTCAATTTATTTGACCCCCTCTCCAAATGTTCAAGTGCGGGTTACATGTTTTTATAAAGACCGTAAATGTACCTAGCTATTTTATATTTTATAAACGCATAATAATCCTTCATAACCACAGAAGCTATGAGAGGCAAAGACCCGAGCGTGCCTCAATGTTATTTGGTTTATATATCATTTAAATAATTTTATACATGTATAGAAAACAATGGTCTTATCATTTAGCTACGCCTGGGGAAATAATTTAGTCTACAATGTATTAAAATAATAATTTACACCATGTACAGCTAAGTGCTCTACTTTTTTTTTTTAGCACCCATTAGCACCTATTTATTCATTAGTTTATTTAATTAATTTATTCATGTATCATATTTATGCTCCTCAAACTGAAAATGTAAAATATAAGCGTGCCCCCCCCCCCCCCCCCCGCCAATGCTTAAATTATTTATTAGTTTTCACATAGTCATGTATGCCTGATTTTTACATGTAAATATGTTTGGGTGATGCATACTATAGTAGGCAGGTTGCTTTTAACTAATATTTCAAAAATAAATTTAAAGATAAATGTTATCTGTTTTAAAAATTGTTATTTTAGATCTTTTTTTGTTGATTTCATTAAAATTATAGCTATGTAAAATGACGTCACAATTATTCCGGAAAAAAATTTCTTCACCGGTAACGTTTCTTAGATTACGCGAGATCTCGCGAGAACTTAGACAGTCTGTTCATCTGCCCTTGTGACACATTCATTCATTTGACGAACGCTAGAGTCGGAGAGGGATCGATATCGTTCTGGCAACTTATCACTGTTATGGTAGATTCATCATCAGTATGATTTTTTCGTAACCTAGAAAGACGTGCAATAGAAGAGGGTATGGCGAACCAGGGCTTTATACCCGGCTCAGCCGTGAATCCATCAACTCAAGTTGAAATAAGTGTTTCCTGCAGGTGAGTAAATTATGCAGAAGGATAAAACGTACGCTGAACTAGGACCTGAGGTCCCCTGCTCAATTCACGACTATCGGGCCTGTTTACTCCGCTACAAAATGTAGTGCGTTGCATATACGTAAAGTGAAAATAGAATAAATCGTAATACTGTGAAGCCTTTAAAGTGTAAAACAACTTTTTAAAAGGAATAACCATCTGATGGGTATTAGAAAAGATAGAGGGGGTGGAGGGTGGGTGCTGAGCAACATTAACTGCAATTTTATGCGATATATGATATCCTAGTGTACCCATAAATCGTCCCCTTAGGACATATGACGTCATAGTAACAACGAGCGCGTGCAAATTGATAAACAAACTTCAGTGCTAGTTATAGAATGGAATTGCTGATTAAATGTTAAAAATTATTTTTTCTTACTACTCTTCACAAGATTTTTAGAACTCTTCTACAAAATCAAACTTTTACACTTAAAAATATCACCCATACCCTATTTTCGTCCTTCAGATATAAAACGGCCGCAGATGATTGGTCTATTTGTTTTCCCGTGATTTGTGATTAAAAATGGATTGGAAAATCATTGAAATAAAAATTGTCAATTTTAATTGTTAATTTTAAATTTTTATTATCAATTTAAGAACATAAAATACTTTCGCTATTACCGACTTCGTTTTCTTTAACGAAATAAAAAAACACGAACGTGCTTTCAGATTAACATTGTCAACGATGTCACGTATGCTCATCTTGAGATGCAAATTATACAATGTTTTATTTTAGATTTTCCAAAATTCATTGACCTTACTTGCAAAAACGATAGAAAATCAAAATATTTAAACAGTGCAATTCTGGCACAATCTGAAAAAAAAACAACAGGAATACTATAATTTAGTGCGTAGACTTGAATTGATCACCTAATTATCAATAATGTGTGAAATATTCACGTTATAGGAAAAAAAAAACCTTTTCATCTACTAGTTCTGCAGTAGATGAGAATAAAAGTGTTCGCAGAAAAGATCTTGTTTTACTTAATTATATCGTGAAGTTCGACCCAGTAGATGCCCGGATTAGTTATGCTTCAATGCACGTGACGTAGCACCTGTCAAACTGGTAAAAGTTGTGACAAAAATACACCTTCTTTGGTCGGCTAAATAAAACGACTGTTCGGACTGTTCAATAAGATAAATTCTTGGTTTGTATAAATAAAATAGTTTCTGCTTGATTACTTGACCACTTACCGACTTTTTTGCAAGCAAGGGGGAAGGGGGGATGAGGACTGGCGACTGGGCAAGGTCAAAAGTAGATCTATTCAAACAATGTGATCATTAATGCTTGGTCATGTTGAAAGATTCATTTTTTTGAAAGGGGTGGTATAATAAATTCTTATGTGGGAAATATTTTTGATATAATATATAATTTGGTTTTATTTATTTGCCGTCTCAATAACATATTCCTATATAAAAAAAATCTCGATTATATAAAACTGAATAAAAACAAAACACACACAAGGAAAGGGAAAATCAGCAGGAGGGTCATTCTACGGATAGAGGCCCAAACGAACTTTCCAAAAGTCAGAATTCCTATACCCTATTTTATTCAATTTTTCTGCGTTATTTACTAAATCTAACTTAGAGGAAACCATTTCAACATGCAGCAGCAATGTTTAAAATATTTTATTGCTTATTTTGAGACTTAAACATACATACATGAAAAAAAAATGTCATTACCGCAACAGACGACTAAATCGTCATAAAATATTGTTACAGTAATTAAACCAATTTTTTCATAGTTTGAAGTAAGAAATCTTAGTAATATCTTACCTTCATGATTATTTGAGTGAAATATTTGCACATTATTTTTCGTACTGTGGTGTTAAATCTACGTTTTTAAAAAATGCAAAAAAACCATTGGTCAATAAACCACTTGAGGAGTGTATGTGATTATTTTACTCCCATTTTTCTACGGTGTGAGATTTCACGGACTCATGCATGTTGATTAAACACTTTATTACATTTATTATTAATTAGATTAATTGATAATTAATTGACCTATTTTCTCCTCGTTATGGTAATGACATTGCGTTGCGGTAGTGACAATGCATTAAGAAACACGTGCTTTATAATGGTATACAACCCCCTCCCCCAGTTATCATGCCTTATATTTTCCAAATTTATTTAGAAACAGTCATGGCTTGAGCAAAATTAATTTTTAAACAGGTAATTCATCATCATTTGAAAACAATTGTTCAAAACACTGTGTATTAGATGTAGGTAAGTCTCGCCTATACCTCCCAGGACTGGACCCACATATAGGAGTTATTTGCAACAACCTCTTGTGCAGAAAACACTAGTAAAATAGTGTTGTAAAATCCATGCACAAGACAATCTAAAGATGATTTGTCATTACCGTAACACTGATGTCATTACCAAAACGATTTGATTCAATGGATTTGTTTCGGTAATGACACGTTTCGGTAATGACATTTTGAAATGTTAAACAGAATATAGAGGGCGCTACTTGCCAAAAGGGGTTAAATAATGTACAACACAATTCAAAACCAATCTATATTTCTTTCTAAACAATTGCATTTTTCCTAGGTGATCGTACTTTCATTGTAGCAAGCATTCGGTAATGACACTGAATAAACATACGCTTGAAAGTAAGACCATTTAAAATGTAATATCTGCTTACTTAACCACAGGAGAGCGTGCCTTGTATCAAAGATGGCGGTTTCTGAAACTTTTAATCACGTGGCTTCTTCTTTTGGATTATCGTTCTTGTCTCTTATATTTTGCAGTTTTATCTCTCCGTTTCGGTAATGACAAGAATATCAGGGACACCGTTTTACAAACAATAAATTATTAAAAAAAAGAATTTAGTAACCCGTATCTTTTTTAAATCAACAATGGAATATTTTATTATACCTTAGTAATCTCGACAGGTTAAATTTTGACAGAAAATTCAGTTTTCACACACGCATATTCAATATTAAAAATTCGATCTTGTAGTTTGGGACATGGCATTTCAAAGCAAGTCCATGACATTAAATTTTTTTTAAAGAATTAATATTGCTTTCAGGGGTGTCCTAATGATGTGTATGCATATTTATTATTTCCTTCTTCAATATTCCAGATTTAATTTTAAAATTTCATAAACCAGGAATTGCTCAAAACATACTAAAGTGACGGGACACCATTTGGGCCTCTATTCGTAGAATGACCCAGGACAGTATAAATTGTTTTAATTTGTAGTACCAACAGAAATTCTATTGTTGGAAGCATTCACAGCTGTTAGTTAAATTGACTGTTAAAATCTTTGATTTTTGTGGAGACAATCATTTGCAGTGATGACTTAGATTTTTTTCTCTGAAATAATTACGGATACCCGCATGGCCGCATAGTACGTAACGTCAATATTGTAGGTGGAAAGTGTATAGGATCCTTTTGATTTTTGAGCGTTGATTTCTTTTGATCAAATTCTTAAATTAAAAGCCCATGCACTTAATTCAATACAATGACAGGTATAAAATAATAAAATGAAGGAATATTTGATCTGGAAGTAATTTTGGGGAATTAACTGCCGTGTACACTTTCAATAAAAAATGGACCTAAGGAAAAATCAGATATTTTATGTATTTTTATGTTATCTAAGTTTAATACTGGTTTAAACTGCAAATTCTGAAAAATAATTGAAGACAAAGTTGCATCATTGTGTTCACTAGTCATAACAATTAAAAATGACTTCATCGATACAAAGTTCGAAACGTGCTGGTCCGAGAAGTTTGGGGACGAATTTAGGGTATGGACGAATTTAGGGTACACGACGATATATAAGCGTTTAACATTTATGGATTACGTTAGTGACCTGTGGTCTCCCCTATGATTTTATTTCATGTAACGTTATAGTACACACCAGTAGGGGACAACAGTAAGGTGACCAGAGAACAAGTAACATTGTACATCAGTAGGGGGACCAGAGGTCACCTTATATTGTACATCAGTAGGGGGACATCAGTAGGGAGAGCAAAGGTCACCTTATCTAGTACATAAGTAGGGGGACCAGAGGTCACCTTAAACTGTACATCAGTAGGGGAACAAGAGGACACCTTAATGTACATCAGTAGTGGGACCAGAGGACACCTTATTTGTACATCAGTAGGAGGACCAGAGGACACTTAATATTGTACATCAATAAGAGGACCAGTGTGTCACCTTATATAATACCGTAAATCTGGAAATTTTTGCTGTAGATAAATTTTTAGCAAATTTGCGAGTTCATTGCATTCGCAAAAATATTTTTCTTAAAAATAAATCACCAATAAGAAAATGTAAACAAAGCAGTGGTAATTCGCAAAATTTTGAAACGTAAAAATTAATCAACACCATTTTGACCCGAATTCGCAAAATAAAATCTACGTAAAAATTTCCAGATTTACGGTACATCATTAGGTTGACCAGAAGTCACCTTATACTGTACATCAGAAGGGTACATCAGTAGGGGGACCAGAGGTCACCTTATACTCTACATCAGTAGGGGGACCAGAGGGCACCTTATACTGTACATCAGTACTGTAGGGGGACTAGAGAGCATTTTGAATTCTACATATGTAGGGGGACCAGAAGACACCTTATATTGTACATAAGTAGGGGACAACAGAAAGGGGGCCAGAGAACACCTTATATTCTATATCAGTAGGGGGACCAGAGGTCACCTTTAATTGGACGTCAGTGGGGGGACCAGAGGTCACCTTATACTGTACATCAGTAGGGGACATCAGTAGGAGAGCAGAGACCTGTCACCTTATATTGTACATAAGAAGGGGGACCAGAGGTCACCTTATATTGTACAGCAGTAGGGGGACCAGAGGTCACCTTAAATTGTACATCAATAGGGGGACCAGGAGTCACTTTATATTGTACATCATTTGGGGGACCAGAGGCAACCTTATATTGTACATCAGCTGTAGTAGGGGGACCAGAGGTCACCTTAAATTGTACATCAGTAGGGG